AATATCACCAGGCCAATATTGGACCAATATATATGTAAACCAATATAGGCAAGCCAATATATGCAAGCCAATATTATCAGTAGACCTGCGTTTATAATTAGGAGAACGCCCTAGCTTGTCGGGTGCAAAACTCCTACTTTATCCACTCCCGTCCTTCTCCTTGACCTCCNGCCGCCTTTCCATAGTCTCCCACCACTCTCTCTCTCTCTCTCTCTCTCTCTCTCTCTCTCTCTCTCTCTCTCTCTCTTTCTCTCTCTCTCTCTCTATCTATCTCTCTCTCTTTCGTTCACTCGGTATCCTATATTGTGCAATTGCCTTCAGTCCGTACTGCACGCCTAAAACGGTGCTCGCGCATGCGCAATATCTCCCAAGAAGAATAAAATTTTAAGAAGATTATGCATTTAAGACAGAGAGGATGTATTCTAGCATAGATTTATATAGTAATATTTTATGAGTAGACTTCTCTTAAAAAATATGACGAAAACCTTGCATGTAAGGTACCCGTTGCATATATCAGTCTGTACACAATCTGGCTACCTTAGTATGTAAGCGCATGCGAAATAACTCACCAGAGGAGTTATATTTTAAGATGAATATGAATTTAATATGGTTACGGGCTATCGCAGCATTGATTTATGGAATTAGTTTTTATTAGTAGACATGTTGTTTATAATTAGGAGAGCCCCTTAGCTTGTCGTGTGCAAAACTCCTACTTCATCCACTCCCGTCCTTCCCCTTGACTTCCCATGTCCCTCGCTCAGCCTCCTTTTTTTCTACCGCCCTTCAGCGTTTGTTCCTGCCGCTTTTCCATAGTCTTCCATCTCTCTCTCTCTCGCTCTCTCGCACACTCGGTAACCTATATTATGCAGTTGCCTTCAGTCCGTACTGCACGCCTAAAACGGTGTTCGCGCATGCGCAATATCTCCCAAGAAAAATAAAATGTTGAGAAGATTATGCATTTAAGATAGAGAAAAGGTATTCTAGCATAGATTTATATGGTAACATTCCATCAGTAGACCTCTCTTAAGAAATATGACGAAAACCTTGCATGAAAGGTGCCCGCTGCATACACCAGTCTGTACACAAACTGGCTACGTTAGTATGTAAGCGTATGCGAAATATCTCACCAGATGAGTTATATTTTATTAAGAATATGCATTTAATATGGTTAGGGGTATCTCAGCATAGATTTATGTAATACATTTTTATCAGTAGACCTGTGTTTATAATTAGGAGAGCGCCCTAGCTTGTAGGTTGCAAAACTGCTACTTCCTCTCTCCCGTCCTTCCCCTTGACCTCCGATGTCCCTCGCTCAACCTCCTTTTTTTCTACCGCCTTTCAGCTATCTTTTCTGCCGTCTTTCCATAGTCTCCCACCTCTCTCTCTCTCTCTCTCTCTCTCTCTCTCTCTCTCTCTCTCTCTCTCTCTCTCTCTATCGCTCACTCGTTATCCTATATTGTGCAGTTGCCTTCAGTCCGTTCTGCACGCCTAAAACGTTGCTCGCGCATGCGCAATATCTCCCAAGAAGAATGAAATTTTAAGAAGATTATGCATTTAAGATAGAGAAGAGGTATTCTAGCATAGATTAATATGATAAC